TCAGAGGGAGCAGCCTACAGGAGCCCAGTGAAGGCATCAATGATAGTGGTAGCAACAATCCAGCAGAAGAGGATAGCAACATCCTACAGTCAACCTAGCATCTGGAATAGGGTCTGTTTCCTCTGTACATGTCCCCACCAGGGCACCTTCCAGAGTGTTGTTTGGGAGCAAAAGGGGCAATTATCTACTACATTTTAAAGCTAAGGAGGATGCCACACCCTATGCTCAGGCAGTGAGTACTATCATTCCCCTATGACCTGATGTAGTATGGTCCATTCTGCTAGTGGTTATGGCATGTCTAGAGGAATAGTTATATCCAGGGCTGTGTCTGATACTTTGGTAAACGGCTTATGTGAGGCCTTGGGATAGGTGTGTAATTTGGATAAGGAGTCCTCCATGTTATTATAACATGCTTCTGGTATATATTGGGGGGGGGGTGCCTAGACACAGTGACCATAATTAGAATGTGTGAGTTGGCTCTTTTCAAATGAAGTAGCTTCATTTCCCATTGGGAATAGCTTCTTTCCCATTTAGAGTAGCTTCCCCGAATCATGAAATTATCATTTGCAAGTATCCACCACACCAGACTGTAAGCTCATTCATTATTGCCAAGTAGTCAGTAAAAATGTGCCCATGGGAGTCTCATTTTGATTGCCTAATGTAGGTGCCCTGCTACCATCTTTGCCAATTGGACAGAATCTGAAGAGTTTTTCCTGACTAGAGAGATGCCACTAGACTAGCAATATAATCTACCACAGCCTTCTGGCAGGCTGGGCTTTGATCAATATTGGCATTATCATTGGTGAAGACCACTGACTCACTTCCTGTATCAGATAGTTGGTCCCAAGGGGACCCCCTAATTGTAGAGTGGCCAGTAGGGATGATGCCACCAGCTGTATTGCAATGGAAATGGGCACGATGGGCAAGGAGCTGGGCATGAGGGAAGCCACATCCTTCTATGATTTGAAAAGGCCCTTGACATTAGACTTAGCCCTTTCTTGTAGGTACAATTTCCATTTTAACACTGGGGCCTAAGTGGCTATGCTGAGTATCTGTTAGCTTGAACCAAGACAGGATGGAACTTATCTGTTACTGTATGGGCTGTGACTCCATTAATGCTCTCGTCTCTAAAAGAGCCCACTAGACTCCAATTTTGGTGCTCAAGTAGCATGCAGCAGGCTGCTCTCTGGGGCAAATGTTTAATGACAAACTTAATGCAGTCAGGTAGAGTCATGCTTAGTCCAGAGAGCCCACAGGTAAAATCAAGTGTCACCTGTGATTCCAACTGGAAGATGGAGCCTGAAGGGACGGCCTGTATAGCTTGCTAAGGTGGCTGAAAGACAGTTTTTGAGGTTCTCCCACTGGAAAAAAAGCTGATTTGTCTGTAACAGCATAAATAGGCCTAAGTAGAATCTATAAGTATGGAATTTGCTGCTTCCAAAAGGTAAAGAGACCTAATATGTGCTGTGCCTGCTATAGTGCAGTGGGAAGCTTGATTGTGAGAAGTTGATGTTTTAAAGAGCAATTTTGCAGCTCTCAGCTGCCCACACTATGATAATAAACTTGAAAGAAGAGGCTGGTTCTTGGATTTTATGTAGAGCAATGGCCTGTCCTCTCTTCTGCAAATGTTCTGTTAGTAGGTCTTCCCAGATGGCAGCTATAGAATTGTAGAATGGCATCTGTAGAATGCCCAAGGCAGCAGTTTGAGGGAATTTAAATGTCTGGGTAAGGTATATGCAATGGCAGGGCTCTTTAGATAAGCATGATCAGTGAGTTAAAGCTGTACTGGGTAGGTGTCCTAGAATCTGAAAGCAAACGGGGGTTGTGAGACTTTAGCTATGAGGATTGAGTAAAAGTTGTTGATTACATCTAGAACAGCAATGTAGGGGTCCTTCAAGTTTTTGGATGCCATATGTCATCTCTGTAATATTGGGAATGGAAACCCTAGTAGTTGGAAACTGCTTTTAAGTTTAGGTTGCCAATTGTTAATCTCCTTTCATTGGTGGTCTGTTTTAACACTGGCCGGATAGGGCTGTCATAGGGTAAGGTAGTGGGCCTAATGACTCTAGTGTCCTTAGGCATTAAATATCTTTTGTAATGGGCTGAACACCCTCTGTACTTTGCTTTGGCTGATAATGTGGTGTATTTACTGTTTTCATTGAAGAAGGCAGTTGGACAGGTTCTCACTAGGCATATCCCATGGAAAAAGGCCAGGGATATAGGTTAATTATACCAGGCTGTCACTGAGGAAGGGCAGGCATGACTATAATAGGAAAACAGAGCACCAAGGGGTTATCACCCCTGGCAATTATTTTAGAAATACGGTGTCATGCAGATTAATGTGTGTTCCCTTTACATTTCCCCTGCTATGGCTTGCAGGCTGTATGTAGGAGGTTCCCTTGGGGGAGATTTAGAAGTCTTACCTGGAATTACTATGAGTTGAGCTCCCGTGTATAATAAAGCCAAGAATGTCTTGTTATTGCCATTGTCCCAGCGGGCCACCATAGTCTTCAATAGGTGATTGTCCCTGGAAGGTAGGATAAGCTCCGTCCAGACACTGAGTCTCTAGGATAATGCTCTGGGGGGGCTGCCAAGTCCAAGGTTAGGAAAGGTGTTTAGGGCAGAGGGAGCCTTGGGACTCTCTGAAGGCCTCTGAGCCATTGAGATGGGCTTTGTATTGAGGTGATTGCATGTTTTAAAGAGAAGAATTTACACCAGGGATGTCCAGATACATGCTAATTGGCAGAGCTGCCAAAGTTAAGGCACTGGACTATTTAGAATCATCCAGGGCATTGCTTTCTGATGGGGTTGGTTTGGGGGCTCCAGGACTACGATTTGGGAAGGGTACTCTGTGAGGTGGGTTGTGGGACCTGGCACCTAAAGGCTGTCTGTGAGGTCATGAGATTCCTTAGTATTGTATTAATAAAATCTGGGATTCTGGGTAAGAGTCCCCTCATGGCAGGCTACAATGCTTATTGCCTTCAAGACCTCTTGAATAGTATAGGAGGTCCCCACAAAGTGAAGGAGTGAGACCCTGCAATTGAGGAGGGCTGCTCCCTATAAGAAATAGTCTCTGGCCGAGACCGGTTTGGCTCAATGGATAGAGCGTCGGCTTGGGGACTGAGGGACCCGGGTTCGATTCCGGTCAAGGGCATGTACCTTGGCTGCGGGCATATCCCCGGTAGGGGGTGTGCAAGAGGCAGCTGATCGATGACTCTCTCTCATCGATGTTTCTAACTTGCTATCTCTCTCCCTTCCTCTCTGTAAAAAATCAATAAAATATATTTAAAAAAAAAAAAAAAGTCTCTGAATTTGGGGCCTATTAGGGATTAGATATGACATCTGGGTCATCTGGGGTTTCTATGTTCATAGAAGGGTTGGACTTACTGGACCATATCGATCTTAATGGAGCAGTTGGGCTTCATTAAGTGTCTTTCATTGGCTTTGATCCTTTGCATAATTAATTGTGATAGAAAACTGAGCTCAAATCATAAAAATTCAAGTAAGCAGGGGAGAAACTCCCTGTATATTTTTAGGATGTGTGGCTTTAGGTTAGGTCTCCTCTTCATCACTAGAAGCCTTGATTATAGCATTGTTATTGTTGGAGGCAGTGGCCTTTGCTTTATTTCATGTTGACTTAGTCCTGAAGTGACCCTTCATGGATAGGGTCAAGGTTTACCCATACCTCTCATGAGTTTGGCCCTCCAGCTCTCGGTGTCTTTTAAATAGTATGCATTGCGAGGTCCTTGGAAAACTGGCCAGTTGCCTCATTTCTGCTCAGAGTCAATATTAGACACTTAAAACAACTAGTCAGCCTCCCTTTTCTCCTTCCTGCTTTACAAAGTTTTTAAAAATATTTCGAATCTTGAAGCAGGTAGTTTTGAGTTTCAGTTTTTAATTCCCTGTTTCTCGCTGACTTTACCTTACACTGGAAAAACCTTGTGAATTGTCAGTGGAAATAATCTGCAGAGGATATTCCAGTGGCCCAACTCATTGCCAGACCCTTTTCCTCTCCAGAGGGAATTGGGGTTACCTCCACTAGCATAATGGTGGTGGATTCATTAGAGCTGGTCCCTAGACCCAGAGAATGTAAATCAGGGTACATCCAGGCACTGAACAGCACTCAGACAACTTCCATTGTTACAGAAGACCGGAAAAAAAACAAGCCCTGCTTAGAGAAAGGGAGTTACATTTTATTAAGGGCTGGGCCAGAGAAAAATGTACCTTTCAAATTCTGGGCCTCCCCTCAGGGAGGAAACCTTTTTTATTTAGATTTTTCCTACTTTTTTGTCTCCAAATTTGGAATGAGACTTCTGGGCCTTCTGGGAAATAAGGCCTACAAGCTGGGAAGGGACCATGAGGCCATATCTCAAGGCCTGCTCTGGTGTCAGCACTGACAATTCTAGGGTATAGTCCATGGCCTCTCTGGAATGGGATTAGTCATATTTTCCTTATTTAAGCAAGCTAGCATTTACAGAAGCCAAATAGCAGGGTTAAAATTTCAAACAGTAGTTTTTATATAAGATGGATGTTTCATTCCCCACTGGTTTTATGTACATGAGTCAAATCATTGACTTTTTTCGGTCATTGTTGGCAAGGGAGTTATATTGACCATTGAGGACTATAATCTTGATAGAATTCTCTACTGAATAAAGTCAGTGGGCCTGTTTATAAGATAAGGGCCCAGAATGAGGGCCAGGACTAATCTTTAGAGGGTCTGAAGAGTCATGGACTCTCTTTTTTGCCTGGGCTGTCTTAAGCCAGGTGTGAAAAAGCCACGTCAGGATCACGTCGACCTTGACTGCTGCGGGGATGGTCCTTTCCAGATAGAATCCGTCCTTGTGTGGCAAATTTCTTTACCCAGAATCACCAGAATGGAAGGATGGACCGAATCAGAAGTTGGACATGCTTCTGGACTGCTTTCTGGGTGGATTGTAAAGCCTCTAAGAACTTGAGTAAAGATTGGTTATAAATTTAAGCTTTTCTAGATTGGATTTCCATGTAAGCTGGTGAGGTGGGTAGGTCAGGGTTTGGGAGAGTCACTAGAATATGTAGAGGCCCCATTGGTTTTAGGGCAGCCTCCCGGGCTGCTTCATCTGCAGCCACATTCCCTCTTGCTTCTGGGGAGTCCCCTTGTCTCACATAGGTAAAGATGGAAAGACTTAATTACATCTGGTAGTGCTAGTTGGCCCATCGTCTTTGCTCTGCTCATATCTGCCTAATATATTACCTCAAGGATCCTGGCTCTGAATTCTTTTAGGGAAAATGGACATTGATGGGCTCTTCTAGCTACTTCCTGCTGAGACAGGTCAGAAGTTTCTTTCAGAGCCAAGAGATCCTTACTGTCTGTCAGAGGAACAATGAGGCCTGAGCACAGAAGGAGGTGAGACCTGGCGTAACAAATGGTCTGGTGGAAGGGAAATAAAACATTTCAGTTTTAATAACCTCTACTGAAATAGAATTTTTCTCCTCAAAATTATCCCCATGTTTATCAAAAGAGCCAAATCAAGACAATTTATCTATTGTATTTAATTTGGCCTGATTGTTCGCATAAACATAACAAGAATGGTAACTGACTACTTTTGCCAGAATTTCATGATTGAATCTTAATGTGCCCCTTTGGGCAAGAAAGCCAAGCCATCAGGCCTGCCTATAGTATCTGCTGAGTTAGATGAAGTCCTCACCTGTAGTGGATTTATCTGGGCCCATGCCCTAGGCTTCAAGGGCCATCTCAGCCCTCCTACTCGTTGCAGCTCAGAGTGCGTGGGGGTCCCACAGAGACACAGAGGTGCCCTTAGTGCTCCCCTTGTACTCTGACCAACCGCCAGTGATGGTAGGCTATGGGCCTGATGCTCCAGCACCAGCCGTTTTTAGGGCTACCAAGCAGGATACCAGACTCTCTCCATGGTACTCTTAATGGCTTCAAGTCTTCAGAGTTCAGGCAGGGCTCTTTAAAACATAATATTCCAGTCAAAGTTTCTGGTTAATAAAACCACTATTGCAAACCAGTCTTATTGAATTTATGCAAAGAAATATATTGCCATGATTTATTTATTAAGTATTGCCAAATTTCAGGGGAATTGTATAAGGAGAAAATATACAGGCCTGCTTTAAGATAGAATTTTCCTTGCCAGTCTTTTTTATGCATTTTCCAAAGTAATATTTCTGAATGTATTATAACAACAGTAACTGTTAAATTTCTTTTATCAGTCCCTCCCAAGGTACTCTGAAATAACTATTTACCCTCTGTTTAGGGAGGCAGAATGCAAATCATTGATTCTTAAGTGTCCTTGATTTAGGAAGACAGAGTTTTCTAGGTGGTTGCAAACTGTTATTTTAAAATTTCACTTTCTCTGTTCTGTCCTGGTTTACTGGCCTATATCATTTAATCAATTTCCTTTCAACATTTCTTTTCTCCTCCTTATTACATACACAACCTGTATAAATTTTACAATTCCAAATTAGCCTTCAAACCTTCTTTCTATGTCGTTTAAAAATGCATAACCATGCCTCAGACCTTCTACTCAGTATTCCTTATTCTTTGAAACCTCAATCCTTTAATGACTCCTAAAAAGTAAACAGCCAGAATTTCTTAGATTAACATTTATGACTTAGAACTTCTGTGATAAATCTAAGAGCAGGTAAAAATATTTTTTTGAGAGACAGATTTTTAAAACTTAAACTAGTTGTAACATTAAAGATATTATATTTTAAAGTTTGTTTGCTGAATATTCCACCACCGCCCAAGAAATACCCAGTAACCCCGCCCCACCAGGCTCGGAAAATGAAATTTTCTTTATGTGTATTGGAAGGGTTAAAAAGGAGAAAATGGGGCAGAGGAAGAGCCACTGTGTTTTGAGTCCAGCATATTTCAAATAAGAAACCAAAGATACCAGTAGAGTGGGTTGTAGCCAGTAAAGTCAACAAAAACCTATCTCTCCCTGCTCTCCCCACCGACACACCCTCCCACCCCTTTTCTGCATTACCATTTACTCAGTAATTAGCAGGGGAAATAAGGCAAGCCATCTGAGATCCTGTGTAACTAGGTTTCTAACACTTAAGAAACAGCTGCTCTCCCTCACAGATTTTCCTTCTTTACTCCAAGGCCCCAGAATATCTCAAATTTTCCTCCTCCTTCACCACTTCTGATATCTCCAATCATCCCCCTTACCCCCAGCCTAGGGCTCCTCTGTCTCAGCAGGCCAAGAGTGAATTCCACAGCCTCTACCCTTTCTCACACCTGCTCCAGAGCAATTTTCGGCTCTCTTCCTCCCCAGAGACCCACTGTAAGTCTATCAGGAAGGGCAGGCAGGTCGCAGTTCCCGGGACCACATGATTCTCTGTTTTCTAGCAGGGCTGAACATGGCGGCTCACAAAACAGTTAATTATGACTAATCTTAACCCAACAAGCCTTTGTTTAAACTTCTCTGGATTGGCAACCTTCACAAATGTTATATTCTTAAATTAACCCTAGAATTCCTATTTTCTTAGTGGCTGACTGTCTACTGGTGTGTGTACCCCTTGATGGTGAGGATATTTCTTTCCTGTTTACCACACTATCCCTAGGCTTGGAGCACTATAATATAAATTGTGTTCAGTAAAAATACATGAAATAAATGAGTACACACATACATCATATATAGCAAGGTCACTCCATAACATTTTACAAATAACACTTTTAAAAAGGCATGTGACTTTTTAATAGAAACCCTTTCAGGCAAAAACATAGAATAATGTAATGGCATCTGTAGTTTCAATGTGGCAGAATAAGCATTAGTGCACCTATGTTTCTGAACCTCAGAAAATGCACCAAATAAGCAGAAATTCCTAGGTTGTTTACACCCTAGAAAAGACAGGTAATACGATTCCTACTAAAACAACAGGAGATCAACAATTTTTATAAATTCTCCCCAGCAACCAGATTCCTACCAAGTCTAACTAATATCGATGCCTAAAAGACATTTCAGAAAGAGCTATGACTACCTGCAGCAAATTCCTGCTGATTAATTGCAGTAGCTTATATCATATATAAAGACTTTTGTTTTCTTAAATAAACAACGAAAATATTTTGCCAACAGCGTTAACCAATTTTAATCCATTTTCAAGATGAATGTGTACATGTATACCTTATTATTTTCCTATTTGTTATGTATATTGGTTGTTTCTTTCACAGCATGCACATATAGATATATATCTGGTGAAAAGATGAAAGCCAAAATGGAAATCTGTGTGAAATAGACAAATCTTTTTTTCTCCCAATTATTCTATTCATTAGCCCTTTTTGTAAAACTTAGATTTATTTCCATGAGACCTATATTTATTGAAAACTTCTGTCATGCTTATAAAACAAAAGATTGATTTTTTTTTTTTTAAGTGTGGATTTGTATGGCATCCCAGAAAAGAAGTGATTGGCTATCAGTTCAGAATCAGCAATAACATTTTTTTTCTTCTACCCTTTAATAAATGGATAAAATTTCTCCTAGAATTTGTGGAGGCTGAAAGGCACTTCATATGCTATATTAAAGGAAAGATAGGAGCAAAGACTCGAGGATGTAAGACAAGCATTTGTAGTTCTTTAATTTTATACAAAAGAAATATTCTTTAAATGCCCTAAATCTCTTTATGATAATATTCATTGCCAAAATGTCTATCATTTTAAAAAATATGTACAAAGTGGAAGTGCAGAGGAGAGGTTTGGTTAAGTAAATTATGGAATATTCCCTTTTTATGGAGTACTATGCTAGCATTAATATGTATGAGGCAGGTCTCCATATAGTGAAATGGGAACATCCCTATGATATTTAAGTGAAAAGTAAAATCAGAGAATAAAATTGGTTGGATCCCTGTTTTTTTCAATCTATATATGGACATAGATATGTATATAAATTCATAAAATGAACTGAGTTTAATTTATTAACAGTGCTTCCCTTGATGGAGGGAACTAGGAATCAAGGTGTAGAAAAAGACTTTCAACCTTGTCTTTGTATAGTTTTCAATTGTTCAATATAGATAATGTTTCCATAGTGTCAGCCTGACTCTAGAAATAATTTACCATAAGTTTTAAATCATTTTTGTTCAGTTTGAAAAGTGTGTACTTTAGAATAATTATAAAATAATTAATATTTCTACTTTTGTCATCTTTGCCCAATTTGCTATTGGCCTGCTGCCTGACATGCTTTATACTGGCTGCCCCTAAGTATAGAATGATCTTCCCCCAGAAGTCCATATAGTTATTTTCTCAGACTTTCAGACCATAGATATTTCTTTATTTCTGTTCAGAGTGTGGGAAGGTACAGAATATATCAACAAAGTTACCATTAAACAATACAGTTAGCCTGTTTGTTACACTTATAGAGACTAAAACAGGGAGAATATTCTCTTAAGATTACATAAAATCTATAGGTAAACTCTTAATTCCCATTTATTTGCAGATGCAACATACTCCTACAAAAGCAAAAGTATCATTAATGTTTCCAAATATAGTTAATTCATTAAGAGAAGTAATAGTTATGAGTGTCTGATTAGAGATGTTTAAGACATTATGCCAAATTTTGTTATTGAAATTAGCTAATTCAATTTCATGGACTTCATTATGGTGCCTTTTCCCTCCTCAGGGTTTGTTTAAAAAAAGTTAGAAAATGACATAATTAAAACATTGTTATTGGGTGTCATGATGTCACCCTGAAATGCCATTATTGCATTCAAACTTCATGACATTTGCTCTAAAAAAAAATTTGTAATATTATTTAGCAGGCAGTAAATGTTATGATGTATAAAATAAAATAGAATGGATCATTGTAATTATAATAAAATAGATTGCTACAAATGTTTTACCTCTTCATGATAGAACCTTGAAATATATACAAAATACAGAAAATTGTAGTATAAATCTATATGCACTAGTACTTCAACAGTTAAGAACTTATGGCCTTGATTATTTTCAAATAAATCCTAGACATCATATCAAAGTCTATAATAACATCTTGCTAATACTAGCATTTTCATTAGTTGAAATTAAATAAAATACTTTGTATCATTTTAGCATAGCACTTATCATAATGTCCTGAAGGTCCAACCCATGTCATTGCAAATGGCAAGTTTCCTTTCTTTTTGATAATTCAATAACATTCCATAGTGTATACTACATACCACATTTTCTTTATCCATTCATCCATCGATGGATACTTAGGTTGCTTCCATCTCGTGGCTATTACGAATAATGCTGCAATGAATATGGGGATGCAAATAACTTTTGAAGTTAGTGTTTTTGTTTGT